CCCTTGAGGGACTTTGCCCAGCAAGAGCTGGGTGTAGGCCCCTCACTGGGCACAGGTGATCCTGGCGTAGAGAAGGGGCCCCCGAGGAAGCCCAGGGGGCCCCCTGGGGGCCCTCCGGGGGGCCCCCTTGGAAGAGGGTTTGGGGGGGTTGGCGCTTGCTGCTGCAGTGCCCTGCGGCGAGAGAAGAGCTGCTGCTGCTCCGCCGCAGCAGACCCTCAGCCCCCCAGCAGCTCTGCTGCGCCCCTCCGTCCAGCAGAAGCAGCAGCATCAGCAGCAGCAGTTGCTGCAGCCGCTGCAGCAGCATCCCTCAACAGCTCAGGGGCCCCCGGGGGGCCCCCCAGGCCCTCGCGGAGCGGCGCTAAGGCCTGCAAACTGAACCCAAGAGGGTAAATTAAATACAAATTTAATTTAAATGAATTTAAAACTGAAAAATAAATTTAAATGCCACCAAGACCTGTAGATCTAGCTGTGACGGCAGCCAGGGGACCCCCGGGGGCCCCCCAGGGGCCCCCGGGGCCCCTGGGGCCCCCGGGGGGCCCCCAAGGTGAGCGCAGGGTGGCTACAGGGGGGCTGGAAGACATATTATTGTTGCTTCAGCTTCTTGGAGATATTTTTCAAATTTAATTTATTAAAATTAATTAAATTATTTATTTAAAGAGGGTTTTGGGCGCCCTACGGATGCCTGGGGGCCCTATCTGGTGCTGCTACAGCATGGGGGCTGCTGCTGCCGCACAGCTGCAGCAGCAACCCGCGGGGGGCCCCCCAGCTGCCCCTTGCATGCCCTAGGGGCCCCCGGGGGTCCTGAGCAAGCTTCGGGTCTTGGGGACGCTGCCGCTGCAGCAGCAGCAGCAGCACGAGCTGCAGCACCAGCAGCGGTACCAGCACCAGCAGCACCTGCACCAGCAGCAGCAGCAGCAGCAGCAGCAGCAAAAGCAGCAGCAGCAGCAGCAGCAGCAGAGTTTCCCAATGGCGCAGCAGGGGCCCAGGGCTCCAGAGAGGGGCGCCCGTTTGTTCCGTACGTACACCTGAATGTGCACGCACTTCTTTTTAATTTTAATTTAATTTTAATTTAATTTAATTTAATTTTAATTTTAACTTTAATTTAATTTAATTTTATTTGTATTTTCATTTTACTGACCTGTGTGTACACCTGAAGGCCCCCAGTGGCCCCTCAGGCACCCCCAGCCGCGCCGAAGCTACAAACCCTAAACCCTAAACCTTAAACCCTAAACCCTAAACCCTAAACCCTAGCGAGCACGGCGCGCCTGGTCTTTTTCTGTTTGTTTCTGCATGCAGTCTAAAATTTTTGGATTTTTTGAATTTCAATTTGGCGAAAACAAATGTTTGAATTTAAAATTAAAAACAAAAAGACCATTAATGCATTTAAGTCATTTAATTCATTTAATTATTTATTTGAATTAAAAAAGATTTTAAAGATCCATTAATTCATTTAATTCATTTATTTGAATCAAAAGAAATATAAAATGGTCCATTAATTCATTTAATTATTTATTTAATTTTAAATTATTTTAAAATGGTCCATTGGTCCATTTATTTATTTATTTATTTTTAAATTATTTTAAAAAATCCATTTAATTATTTTTTGAAATTCAAAATATTCATTTTCTCTGCTTCTTTTTGCATTTAGTTATATTCATTTATTTATTTATTTATATTTATTTGTTTATATTTATTTATTTATATTTATTTATATTTATTTATTTATTTATTATTTATTTATTTATTTTTATTTCTTCAGTGGCCAATCTCTCTTACGAAGTGACGGAGGCCCACATCTCCCAGGCCCTCCAGGGCTGCCCGGGTGTTACTTACGTTGGGTAAACCCTAAACCCTAAACCCTAAACCCTAAACCCTAAACCCTAGCCCTCATTTAATCCCTAGGCCCGCGTCGAAACCCCAAACCCTTGTCTGAACCCTGAGCCTTTCTGGACCCCCTAAGCCCTCGTCGAAACCCTAAACCCTAAACCCTCGCCGAAACCCTAAACCCTAAACCTTCGTCGAAACGCCAAACCCTAAACCCTCATCGAAACGCTAAACCCTAAACCCTTCGAAACTCTAAACCCTAACCCCCTCGCAATGTCCCTGCGCAGAAACATTTCGGGTTCGTGCTGCTTCAACCCCTGCAACACCCGCTGCTGCTGCTACCGCTGCTGCTGCTGCTGCTACCGCTGCTGCTGCTACCGCTGCTGCTGCTGCTACCGCTGCCGCTACCGCTGCTGCTACCGCTGCTGCTGCTGCTACCGCTGCTGCTGCCGCTACTGCTGCTGCTGCCGCTACTTTGCTGCTGCTGCTACCGCTGCTGCTGCTGCTACCGCTGCTGCTGCTACTTTGCTGCTGCTGCTGCTGCTGCAGCATCAGGAGGGCCCCCGACACTCAGCGCAGCAGAGGCCACGGGTATGTGGAATTCGCCAGTGAAGAATTTGCAGCGCAGGGCCTCGAGCGGCTGCAGGGCCTAGAACTCAGAGGCAAGCCTGCTGCTGCTGCTGCTGCTGCTGCTGCTGCTGCTGCTGGTGCTTCGGCTGCTGCTACTGGTGCCTCCGCTGCTGGTGCTGCTTTTGCTAAGGCTGCTTCTGCTAATGCTGCTTCTCCTGGTGCTGCTGCAGCTGCTGCTACTGCTGCTGCTGCTGCTGCTGCTTGGGACTGTTCTCGCAAGCCTGCTGCTTCTCTTTGAGCTTCTACTTTTGAATTTATTTATTTGTGTTTTATTCGTGTATTTATTCATTGTGTATTTATTTATCTATTTATTTATTATTATTTATTTATTTATTTATTATTTATTTATTTATTTATTCACTTTTTACTTCTAGGAAGACCCATTCGAGTGGACTGGAGTGAACAGGGGCCCCGCCGGAAGTTCCACCCAAGTGGGCCCCAGGGGGGCCCCCACGGGGGCCCCCATGGGGGCCCCCATGCGGGGGCCCCTAGAGAGGGTACTGAGGGGGCCCCCTCTACTGTTGGTTTATTTGATTCAAGTGGCTGTTTAACTCCAGCAGCTGTTGCGGTGGGTTTATATCTTTTTGTTTATTTCTTTTATTTGTCTTTATTTTTATTTTTTGTTGTACCTTTTATCTTTTTTGTTTATTTTATTTTTAGTTTTTGTTTCTTTTGATGTTTCTTTATTTCTTTTATATTCTTTTTTCTGTTTGTCTTTTTTGTTCCCTTTTGTATCTTCATAAAGCACTTTTGGCTTTTTGCTCTATTAACTTTTTCTTTTTCCCCATCCCTTTTATTTGTTCTATTATTTCTTTTTATTTCACTTTATTTTATTTTGTTTTATTTTATTTCAAATTTTCCTGCGCTGAAAGCTCTCCAAAATCCCAAACCCTAAACCCTAAACCCTAAACCCTCGAGTGTGGGGTTTGCTGCAGGCTGCTGAGGCTTTCACTTTGGGGGACCTCGAGCAGCTGCTGGAGGAGCTGCGGCTGCTGCTACCTTCTACGGGTTCGCTGCTGCAGCAGCTGCTGCAGCAGCAGCCGCTGCTGCGTGCTGCGCTGCTGCAGGCGCAGCTGCTGCTGCACCGCCACAGCCACATAGATGTTTCCGTGGGTTTTATTTAATTTAAATTTAATTTAATTTAATTTAATCATTTTTAATTTATTTTTCTTTCCTTTGGTGTACATACACCGCAACTCAGAACGGGCTGCCGCCCCAGCCCGTCCTGAGTTGCGGTGTACGTACACCTGAACCTGCGCACTCACTGTTTGTGATCCAGACACATAAATGTGAATTATTTATTTTATTTAAATGCCATTTAAACATTCATGCCTCACATATCACAATTTAATTCTATTTATTCTGCAACTGCGCTAATCTCCGCTCTCTAGACGCAGGTGGATACACACAAAAGCTCCACAGACACACCAATCTGTTTGTCTTCTTAATTAAATGCATGCTTCCACTTTTTATAATCTTCATCTTATTATGTTCTTTTGTCTTTTTTGCTTCTCGCCTGTGACTTGCTGCATGCATGCGTACATCTAGAGGTGATTCCTGCAAACCTAGCTAGCCAGCTAGCTAGCTAGAAAGCTAGCTAGCTGGCTAGCTAGCTAGCTAGCAGGCTAGCTGGTTAGCTAGCTGGGTATCTAGCTAGCTAGCTAGCCAGCTGGACAGCTGTCTATCCAGCAGGCCCTTTGTCTGGCCAGCTAGCTAGCCAGCTAGCAACCCAACTAGCTAGCCAACTAGATGTCCAACCCAGCTAGCAGCAGCTAGCTAGCTAGCTAGCTAGCTAGCTGGCCAGCTAGCTAGCTAGCTAGCTAGCCGCGAGCCTTTGGCGTGGGAGTTTCGGCGCTGCTGTGGCGGTGAGGGGGGGCGTTGTGGGGTGTCTGTACACCGCAGGGCGTGACAGCAGCAGCAATTCAGCGAGCTGAAGCAGCAGCAACGCAGCAGCTGCTGCTGCAGTGCAGGGCCCTGAGGGCCCCCACTTTGAGGGCCCTTTCTGCTGCAGCGCCGCAGCCAGCGGCCCTCAGGGGCCCCCAGGGGCCCCCTGCTGCGCTGCAGCGCCAAAAGAGAGGTGGGGAGTTATTTTAAATCGTTTTTAGGAATTTTTGATCATTTTGAAGTAGTTTAAACTGTTTTAAATGGCTTTAAATGGCTTTAATTGTTTTAAATTGTTTTAAATCGTTTTAAATGGATTTAAATGGACTTTTTGAAGCTTTTTGATGCGAGAAAACAAAAAATGACCCACTTGCATGCGCTTATATCTCTCGGGAATGCTTCAGTGTTTTTGCGCAGCTTCCCGCGATATTTAGTCCCCATTTTCAGGTGCTTTTTGCATGCATGCATGCATGCATGCATGCATGCATGCGTGGATGCATGCATGCATGCATGCGTGGATGCATGCATGCAAGGAGAATAAGTAGATAAGGATGGATAAATGGCGTTGTAAATAATAATGAATAGACAATAAATAATACAAATTGCATTTATACACGTTTTGATATATTTGTATTAATAATATTTAAAAGAAAATTTTGTTTGTGGGTGTTGTGGCGCAGCAGCAAAACAAGCTGCTGCTGCGCTGCAGCCAGCAGCAGCTCAGCAGCAGCAAGAGCCCCGCATCTCCGTGAACCCGCCTTCAGGGCCTGCAGCGTGGCGAGAGCCATCTGCTGCTGCTGCTCCTGCTGCTGCTGCTGCTCCTGCTGCTTCTCTTACTCCTGCTGCAGCAGCAGATAGACTTGGGGTAGGGGCCGGCGGGCTGTCGCTCTCTCCCCTCACCCCCGAAGCCCCCCCAGCAGCAGCAGCAGCAGCAGCAGCAGCAGCAGCAACACCAGTACCAGCAGCAGCAGCAGCAGGGAGTTACGGGGAGGACGCGATGAGTTTCGGGTGTCGCCAGAAGCGCAAGGCGGAGGAGGAGCTGCTGCAGCCGCCGCAGCAGCAGCAGCAGCAACAGGTTGCTGCTGCTTTGACGGCCCCCAGCAGCAGCAGCAGCAGTTTGAATTCAAAAGAGGGGAATTGGCTGTCCGAAGAAGAGGCGAGGGCCCCTCCTGCTGCAGAGGCTTTAATAGATGAGCTGCTGCGGTCTCAGGGGCTTTTGGAAAAGTGCGTAGTAATTCATTTAATTTCAGTCAATTTTAACCAATTTAAATCAATTTTAATTAATTTAAATCAATTTAAATGCAAATAAATATCATTTAAGGGACTAATCAGCAAAAACGGCCAGTGCAGCCACTCCCTAGAAACTCTCTTCAGGCCGCGAGGACTTTACCAACAGCAGCAGCAGCAGGCGCTGCTGGGCGAGTCTTGGGACTTCGTTTGCATGCGTGTCGCCATCCGTTTACCTTGTATTTATGTGTATTTGTTGTATGATATATTTTAGTTGTTTCATTATTTGTTTTCATGGTTCATTTTAATGAATTGTTTCATCATTTGCTTTTATCCTTCAGAGTGCTGCACATAACGCATGCAGAAATGGCCCATTTGGAGCCGCAGCACCGGCAGCAAATCTTTTCGCTGCGGCGGGCGCTGCGGGCCCGCGGTCTGCTGCAGACTTAGCAGCAGCAGCAGCAGCAGCAGCGGGCGTGGAATCCCGTTGAGTTTAGCTGAATTTGTTCTAGAGACTCTGTTTCGAAGTACACGTATTTCCTAAAAAAAGCAGCGCTTGCCGCAGCAACCGCTAGCTGGCTATCTGCAGCAAAACTGCATTTGTCTGCGCAGCAGCAGCAGCTGCTGCAGGCGCTGCAGCAGGCGCGAACCTCTTTGCTTTGTCTTTCGAAGGGCTGGGAAGGAACTAGGCAGACTGAAATCTAAATAAGCACAAAGAAAGGTAAAGAGCGCAAATAACTTGCAAAGCGCCGCCGCGGCTGGCAACCCCGCCGCTGCCGCTGCACCGCCGCAGCAGCAACAGCAGCAGAGCCTCCCCGCACCCCGTTCGAACGCCCACCACCCCCCTCCCCCGCAGCAGCCCCCCCTCCTCCTCCGCCGCAGCAGCAGCAGCAGCAGCAGCAGCAGCAGCTAGAAGTCCTCGCCGTACCCCTCCTCCTCGGCCTCGCCCTCGGCAGTCTCGATGCCGACCTCCTCGTAGTCCTTCTCCAGCGCGGCCAAGTCCTCGCGGGCCTCGGAAAACTCCCCCTCCTCCATGCCCTCGCCCACGTACCAGTGCACGAAGGCGCGCTTGGCGTACATCAAGTCGAACTTGTGGTCCATTCTGGAGAAGACCTCCGCGATGGCGGTGCTGTTGCTGATCATGCAGACGGCCCTCATGACCTTCGCGAGGTCGCCGCCGGGAACCACCGTGGGCGGCTGGTAGTTGATGCCGCACTTGAAGCCCGTGGGGCACCAGTCCACGAACTGGATGGTGCGTTTGGTCTTGATGGTGGCCACGGCCGCGTTCACGTCTTTGGGCACCACGTCGCCCCTGTACATGAGGCAGCAGGCCATGTACTTGCCGTGGCGCGGGTCGCACTTGGCCATCATGCTCGCGGGCTCGAAGGCGCTGTTGGTGATCTCGGCCACGCTGAGCTGCTCGTGGTACGCCTTTTCCGCGGAGATGATGGGCGCGTACGAGGAAAGCATGAAGTGAATGCGCGGGTACGGCACCAAGTTCGTTTGGAACTCCGTCACGTCCACGTTCAGCGCGCCGTCGAAGCGCAGCGAGGCCGTGAGCGACGAGATCACCTGCGCGATCAGCCGGTTCAAGTTCGTGTACGTCGGCCGCTCGATGTCCAGGTTTCGCCGGCAAATGTCGTAAATGGCCTCGTTGTCCAGCATTACTGCGACGTCGGTGTGTTCCAGCAGCGAGTGCGTCGAAAGCACGGAGTTGTACGGCTCCACCACCGCCGTGGACACCTGCGGCGACGGCCACGAGCAGAAGTTCAACTTGCTCTTCTTCCCGTAGTCCACCGACAGACGCTCCAGCAGCAAACACCCCAAACCCGAGCCCGTTCCGCCCCCCACTGCGTTGAACATCAGAAAACCCTGCAGACCCGTGCACTGGTCCGCCAGCTTCCGGATCCGGTCCAGCGACAGGTCCACTATTTCCTTTCCTATCGTGTAGTGGCCCCGCGCGAAGTTGTTCGCCGCGTCTTCCTTCCCCGAAATCAGCTGCTCCGGGTGAAACAGGTGCCGGTACGTCCCAGTGCGCACTTCGTCCACCACCGTCGGCTCCAAATCCAGAAACACGCAACGCGGAACCTGCACAGACACCGCACAGACGCACCGCTCCCACCTCCGAACACTGCGGAATCCCGGCGCTCCGCGACGTCTCCACACGTAAACGCGCAAACGTTCCCCGAAATTCGAGGAAAAACAGAAAAAACGACGCAGATCGGGCTGCTCTGCACGGATACTGCTCCGGCCAGATTGCAACAGACACAGCCGCACTCACGTGTTTCCCGGCTCCCGTCTCAGAGAAAAAAGTGTTAAAGGCGTCGTCGCCGCCTCCGAGGCTCTGGTCGGGGGGCATTTGCCCGTCGGGCTGAATGCCGTGCTCAAGGCAGAACAGCTCCCTGCGGCAAACAGCACCAACGAAACCCCCAGAAAGCGCTCGCCCCAGCCAACATCGCCGCAACAAACCCGCGCTAACACTCCCCCTAGACTCCGCGCCAAATTTTTAAACAACAGTCACACCAATTTAGACACTCCCGCACACATACAGCCGCGCAAGCGCTGGCGCAAATGGCCCATGGGCCGCCGCAACGCCCGGCGCGGCGCAGCCGCGCTTGTGTGCGGCTTCTTAACCCGAATTTCACGCATAATCTCATCAAATGCATCAAATTGCAGCGATAAGGCGGAGAAAAAGGCAGCAGCAGCAGCCCTTCCCGCAGCCACGCAGAAGAAGCCCAGCTCTCCTCTCTGCTGCGCGTGCGGTGGGTGGGTGTTGAGGTGCCCAGCTTCAGTGGTTCCTGCGGCTCAAATTTCAAATAAATCCGCTCACCAGCAAGCATTTCCGATTTGAATGCCGGCCTGGCCGACGTGGATGCTGATGACTTCTCTCATTTTCGCGGAAAGGCTGGCAGCAGGAGAGTGCGGAACAGGCAAGCGGGCAGGCGCCGCAGACTGGATGTCTCGCGGAGGCGTGAAGAGTCAAAGCTTTGCAAATGCTGAAATTCCCGAGTCAAGCGTCCAACGAGGAGGAGCACTCAACCATGAAATTCCAAAAAAAAGACATGGATAGCCAATCAAGGCCACCAGCGCGCCACCACCACCACCGCAACACCCCGTGCGCAGCGGTAGCAAGGGCCGCCCCAGACTGCACCGCCAAGCCGCCATCCGCCGGCGACCGCCTCCCGAATTCGAACTTTTCCGCAATTAATTTAATTCATTTGTTTATTTTTTCGAAATGTTTGCCAAAAATGCAACAAAAGGGTGCACGCCGTGGCCAAACGGACTCCCTGACACCCGTTCCAGCTATTCGAGTTGTTCCTACGAGTTGGTTCAGCTGTTGCTGCAAGACTCTACAGCTGTCACGCGCTAGGAGTCTCTCTATCGCCTTACACCACACCTTAAGTTGTTTTTAAATCAAAAATATTATCTTTTAATCGTTATTTCCCTTATTTTGCCTCTGGGCGCGTTCATCTGGGTCAGTGGCTTCCGCCGCAACAGAACAGCAACCACCCCCAACGCGCCGGGCAAAGCGTGCCAATGAAGCAAAAGTAGACATTTAAAAATCACTATGCATATATCTCTTTCGAGTGGCTGACTCTGGCCTGCTTTGTGCAACAGCTTTCCTTTAAACCCCAGCGAATCGCTATTCATGAACTGCACATTCAAGTTTTCGGCATGCAGCTAAACCGCCCACTGCAGTGCGCCTCTGTGAGGTCAGGCTCTCTGTTCAAGTTGTGCTGCGCTGTAGTCACCTTGAGTTAGAGGCAGCACAAGTGAGGCAAAGAAAGTGAAAATGAGTTTCCTAGAAATGGATTGCCCAGGCCAGCCCCTAAGAAATCTCGAGGCCACAACGAAGCAGCGCAACAAGAGGCTTTGGAGCCTTCTAGGCTTCATTAGCCTCAGCCACGCACTCATTGACATGCCCAGAAAGTGCTATCAAGCCCGGAAATAGCTAAAGAACCCCCAGAACTAGACATTAAATAACTCGAAAACACTGGCAGCAGGGGTCTTGAGGCTTTTTTTGAAACAGAAACAGCTCAAAAAAACTAGAAGCGACACTCACTGACTCAACCTCCAGCACTGCATGCGACGTATCTGCTGCACAAGTGGAGATTTTCGTCTAATTCAATTGCATGTCACTAAAGGTCCTCTAAGTGGCTCTTGTGCATCTCTGCTAAGTCCCGAGATACTTCTGACAAGTCAAATAGTTGCTGCATGCGTTCTTTGTCAGCTTCATTCCAACAGCAGTTCAAGTCCGCGAAACAGCCAAGTGCAGTGTGCTGTCCTGGCGCCTCTGAGTCATTTGAACGGAAGCAGACACAGAAAAGACAAATAAAAAAGATTCAAAAAGATTCAAATAAAACTCTAAAAGCCAATTAGAGCCCTTCAGCTCCACAGCGAAGCTCCCGCGGGCTAACTGGCTCTGTGTGTTCTAGGCAGCAACAGCTGCGGTTCACTGACACAGGAAATCAGCTGCACCAGCAGCTCAAAAGCTCCCATTTATCTGAGTCGCTTGTTTAAGGCCAAGTGCAAAGGCATGCAAAGGCCTGGAAGCTCTTGCAGCTGTGCCACTCAGCTAATCGGAAGTGCATGCAACAGCTCCGGTGTTGCCTCCCGCAGTCTGCGCCTTCCAAAACGCCTATTGCACTTTTTCGGGAACATAAATTTGTTTTTACATTAAAGGGATTCCCCCTCTGTCGCGGGCACTCCACTTTCCTCCATGAGACTCCGCAGTGCAAGTCGCGAGTTCGAGTCCAGCATCAGCTCCACGTTGGTCCTTCCCCTCCAGGCTGGCACCTGCAGCAGCAGTTCAGAAACAACGAAAATCGCAAATACAGAAATCAAAAGATCCGCAGCAGCAAACGCTGCATGCATGCTGCGAAAGCTGCAGTCTGTTGCTGCAGCTTTCGCAGCTGCTGCTGTCTCAGTGCCGCCAAAGTTTCTGCTGCCGCCGCAGCTCTTTGCAAAGCCTCACTGCCACGTTGGTGAAGCTGCTGCTGCAGCCAGCTGCCTGCGGGATCTTGGCGAGGAAAAGCAAAGAGCCGTCACAGGAGCTGTTCACAAGGGCTTGGCCGCAGGGAAGCTCTTGGATCTTCTTGAAAGGCACTCTTCTGTCCTCCTGCTTTGTTGCCACCAGCCCGTACAAAAGCTGGCAAGGAATATGCAGCACTCGCCGCCTCTCTGCCTCGCTGGACTCCGCCGGAAGCCCGCAGTCTGCGGGGCCGCCCGCATGCGCCGCGAGCTGCTGCTGCTGTTGCTGCTGCTGTTGCTGCTGCTGCAGCGGTGAATCCGCAGCGCAGCCACTAAGGAGCTCACAGAACGGAGCCAGCCACTGGGCAGCCCCATACGCTATGCGGTAGACTCCCCTAGCCCGCGCCTGGAAAGCCAAGCAGCCGCCGTTTATAATCTTGTAGCGAGATGCCCCCACAGCTCGCACCAAGGACTTGACTCCTTGTGAAACAAAAAAAAGCCGCCGGGGATATCTTTCTGAGTTGTCTTCATTTCCAAGATTCCCTTCAAGGGATTCAAGATCTCCCGAGTCTGCGCTTTCCGCTGTTTTCAGGCGGAAGTACAAGTGTGAACTCAGCCGCTGCGCTGCAGCCCGCAGCTCCGGACTTGTGCTTTTTCGCGCTGAAATTTCTCCTCGAATTTCCAGAGTTTCAAATGCCAGTTGAAGTATTTGTTCTAAAATGGCTCGCGAGAGAGCCAGCGGAGAGGTTCCGGGCTGCAGCGGCGGCGCGCAGCGCGGGCTGCTTGCCGCTGCTGCAGCTGAGGCTTGCAAAGCTGCAGCTGCTGCTGCAGTGGCCTCGCTCGCCACAGGTTTCAAGTCTTTCTCGGCTTCCCCATCTAATTCAAGGCGCTTTTCTTGCGCCAGCAGCTGCTGCTGCTGCTGCTGCAGCAGCTCAGGCTGCCAGTCGAGGCCGACCATGTCCAGCTGAATCTGTTCAAAACGCCGTGCTGCCGGCGCCCCCGCAGCAGCTGCTGCAGGATCTTCATCTTCCGGGATCCCATCAGCCTCCCTCTTATTTTCAATGTCCTTTTGCACTTTTTCCGGATCTTCCAGATGGTCTAGTGGACCACAAGGATTGGATTCGCTTCGGCTTCCATCGCCAGAAGCCGAGCCCGGCGCAAGTGGTACTTCCCGCACTTTTCGAAGAACTGCCACGAAAAAGCCTCCTGCAAACAAATCTGCAGCAAATCTGCAGCAAATCTGCAGCAAATCTGCAGCAAACCTGCAGCAGGATCACTTCTCATAGCACGGCAGCAACACGGATCGTTAGGCTGCGCAACAGAAGGCGCGGGAGAAACAAGAAGGAAACGCTGGCTAGCAGCTTTCCCTGGCTCCTCCAATGGGAAAGTGACTAAGCTCTTGATTTCAAGGGAATTCTGCTGCAGCAAGGAAAGAACTGCTGCTGAAAAACCTGAAATGCAGCGCACCTGTGTTGTTAATGTGCGGAAGAAAGCGCATGCAGCGGTGGAGCGGCACAGCCGGCTCTCCCGGCTCGCCCACGGGGGGAAACATCGACTGCCGGAGCTTTTTGGTGGCTTTTGCTGTTTTGGGGACTTCATCAAAGAAGTCATACCAGCGGCCTTCCCACTCCACGCGCCCTGCAGCAGCAACAGCAGGCTCGAAGCACAGGAGGCGCTGCACTGGAATGTTCAGCAAAAAAGAAAAACATTTCCGCATCTGATAGGCCTCAAATGCCCATAAATAAACAAAAGTATTCGGGAGTCTGAGTCCTACAGCTGCTTTTCCCCGGGCTGCGCCTGAGAGATGGAAGATCGCCAGAACAGTCCTCTAGTTCAACAGCCCCCCTGGACTTCGTCTGTTTCGCAAAGCACTCGAAAACAGGAGCAGCAGAACGCGCCTCGAGTGCACTTTAATGGCACAATAAAGGACTTATTATTACTACGCGGACTTGCATGCATGCAAGAAGTGCATTTTAGCTGCAGCTGGAAGCTTTCGTTTGACGGCAAACTCACAATGGCCGCGCAGACAACAGCCTCGTTCTCGATGGGGTTGAATGCGCAGGTGCTGTAGACAATGCGGCCCCCAACTTTGCACAATTTAATTCCCCTGCACAAGAGCAAAGAAATGGGCCTCCAGCCTGGCCACTAAAGCCTCAGCTGCCCCTCAGAGCCGCCTGAAACGCCCAGTTTTCCCCCACGCGCGGGTACACTGAATGCTCAGCGGCTGCAGCCAGCGCTTCCCGACTCTATTAACCTGTTTAACTCCATTAACTTGTTCAGCTTAAGTATCACGCCAAAAATGGAAGCAGCCAATAGCTTGATTAGGATCACACCTGAGCAGAATCTGCAGCTGCAGCCTGTGGCACCCCAGCCCCTGGTGAGGACTCCAGGATGCCCAAAGGGCTCGACTTTTGCGCAGTGTCCCATCTCCAGAGCACGGGACGTCGCAGAGCACGCCGTCAAACTGAATAGGGACGAGCCGGGCAGTTTCTTCTTTGCTGCTGCTGCTGCTGCTGCCGTTACTGTTGCTGCCAAGCAGCACGTCGGCGCCTTCGGGAGCAGCTGTTGCTGCTGCTGCTGGACCTGTAGCGGCATCCTCACTCCTCAGCGGATGAAAAACAGTCGGGAAGAACTGCGCTGCATGCGAGGTAACGAGCAGGCAGGGAGAATGGAGGTGGCGGAGGTGGTGGACGAGCCTGCACTCAGCAGCACAACGCTAAGAGGCGCTGCTGCTGCGCGGCTCGCTGCAGCAGCAAAAGACAAAAAGAGAGACCCCAGCTCGCAGCACTTCAGTTCTCCTTTCGAATACTCGAAACGGACATGTGAGATCGCGTCACGTCTGCGTCGTTGGCCACAATCGCCCCAGCTGCATTGCGCACGGCCATACACACGCGAACTTGAATGTCTGTGACTTGAACTTGTGGCATTTGCAATCAAAAGTAGCTGCACGGAATTCAAAAAGGCAAAAATATTTAAAGGCTACTATTCTTTGATTCCCCACCACACTCTAACATGAACAGACGCATGCAGAAACCAATGGAAACGCTGCAGCAAAGGAAATAAGAAAATGGGTGCGCGTTGCTGTGCTGCACTAGGGAAAGCATTCCAGCGGCCCTATGGCTGAAACTTGGGAATATTCCTCGTTAATTTTTGCAAAGAATCCGAATCTGCGCCATTCACAAGTCCTTACTCGGCAGAGGAGGCCAGCCGTCCACCTCTTCGCCGTTTTTTCGCCTCTCCCGCTCGCACGCCTGATGCAGCGCCTCCAAAAGCTGCGACGTTTTGGACCCCGGCGCAGCGCACATGTCCAAAATCAAGGAATCTCCCTGAGGAGCACAGCGCAGCAGCCTCAGCAGCAAGTGTGAGTCCGCTGGCTAGCTGGGGTGGCTAGCTGTGGCTAGCTGTTTTGCTGCAGGAGGCGCCACCACTGGCTTCCGGCCTGCTAAGGATCTGCTGAGCTGCTGCACGTGGCATTTGTGCCACTATTGTGTTTAAATATCTTCTGTTTTACAAAGACTCACGCGCATTTCCTTCTCGAGAAAGAGCGCAGGAATCATCGAAACGGCTTCTTGGCGATAGATCGTTGCAGCTTCAGACTGCTCGACGAGGAACTTGTGCAAGCTCCTAGAAAAGAAGAACAAAATCTTTTCGCATGCATGCAACGGCAGAGCTGCGGTGATCTTTCTTGCTGCAGTTCATGCTGAGGCTGCCAAGCTAGTGAAGCAGCAGACTTTTCAGCAAATGTCAAACCCACAGCAAAGGCTTGCAAGTCCGGAGGACGTGGCGAGACACATCCAGCTGAAAGGCCTCGTAGCCGCTCTTGTACCACTCCAGGGGCTTCAGAGCCCCCCGCATATCCGCGGCGCAGCTGGCTGCTGCAGCTGCATCTTCCTGTAGGCTTGGAATCAGCAGCAGCAGGCAGAAGCAGCGCGAAAAAGCTATGAAGGAAGCGCAGCAATAAAAAAAGTAAATGTGCACATAAATGACTGAAAACGAGCTAAAAGTAGACTCAGTTGAACTGCGCGCATTGGGAGAGGTGGCTGGACAAGCAATGGGTACTGAAAACAGCGGAATCCATCGGAATTAATGGCATCAAACTGCTGCATTCAACACATGGAAACAAATAATGTTTTAGGATGATGAAGTGCAGGAAGACCTACCTTTCTAGCGTCTTTTGAAGGAACTTGTGCACATAGTGGCGAAAAGGGGTTATGGAAACCACGCGGAAGGCAGTGGGCAGGTCAGACTGCAGGCACTCGAGGAAAGCGGTCCATTCCTCTGCAACACATTTGAGTTTTCGCAACCAATTATCAAATACTTTCGAAATAAAGTCAAATAAAAGCTTGAAACGCAAGCGAAGGGGGAGGATCTGAGGCTTAGGTGTGGCCCAGGGCTCACCCTCAGGCACGATCTTCTGCTCTTTGTAAAACGACTCGAAGGCCGCGCTGTGGCGCACAACTCCATTTTGCCAAATCCCGTCGCCGTCAGCCCCTGCTGTTTCCTGGGAGGCCTTCTTTGAGGGGTTTCGGCGTCCCATTGTTTGCAGGAAATCCAAGTGACCGGGCAGCAGGGCTAGCTGAGGAGCGAGAAAGCTCTATTTTCGAGGCTCCTTTGAGCCTAATACCCTCAAGCTAGAGACGCTTTCCCAGCGCCTCTTTACCTTCCTAGTGGAACCGCTCAATGGTTGATCTAAAGAGTTGAACATGGGGGCCTTTCGCTGAAGAGCAGCCAGCAAGAGCAGGCCCCGCGAGACTGCCTAGTGGGCGTCTCGCGGATTCAGAGGCAAAGGCTCACGCAAATGCTGACTCATTATCTGGTTAAATATTTATTTCAGATCAGCTACTCGACGTTTCCGTAATGCCTCCGTACAAGGAAGCTGGGAGGGCTGTGGGGCCGACTGCGCCTTCTCGACTTTGCATGCAGTGATGGGCTCTTCAAAAGCTGCAGTAAACTCTGCTGCAGCTTAAACTTTGCATTCTGTAGAATCTTCCGCTTTCAGCTTTCTTGCTGTGTAAGCTCCAGTGGCGCGTTTCGGCTGCTGCGCTGCAGTCGAGCCCAGGGCGCCGCCGCTAGCATTCACCTGGGCCACTGTCTTCCGGATTTGCAGCGACAGCAAATCAATTACTAGAATTCTTTTTGCTTTTTTTCGCAATTTCCTTCTTCTAAATCCGCATTGCACACTCGGGCGTCGTCTGCGCTCCATTCGTGGCTCTTCACCTCGCCAATGTTTTGAGCCCGCAAGGCTGCACCAGATCCTGCCGCCTTTAGGATCATTTCTGCTAAATAATACATTCATTGCAGACTTTACTGCTAAAGAATGGGAGCTGTGCTCTCCAGGGAGTTCAAGGAGGGGCCTGGCGCCCGCGCCTGCCGCCGGCTGCGGCGGCTGTGGAGCACGGGGTACTGGCTGGGGTCCAACGTGGCGTGGATGGCTGTGACTTCCGCAATATGTTTGGTGGCTCCTGTGATATTCTATTACGAGCGCGAGTGCCAGATGTTTGAAATGCAGCAGCAGTTCATGGAAGCCCAGCAAGCCGCAGCGCAGGCGCAGCAGCTGCAGCAAATGGCGGGCGTCTAGCCCTGCTTTTGGCACCGCTTCCTTCACTTTCAAACAAAAATGTACTTAATTGAACTCCAAACTTCGCAACGGCTGCACTGCTGGCGCTTAGGAGGCTGTGGGGGTTCACTGGAACGGCTGCAGCGAAGGCAGCCCATGTTTGTGAAGACGAGTGCGCTTTGGCCGTTCATAAAGAGGATTTTGGTGAAGATCTGATCCTCTTAAGAGCAAAACACCTCTCCTGGGATCGGCCTACGCTTACGAGGCGCCTCTTTGCGTTTTTGGGTCCTTTTCTGCTCTTTTCCAGCGATAAAGGCTGCAAAATTGGTCAAGAAGAATCTGAACTTGCAGCTGCACAGGCTGCAGCGAACAAGAGCTATAGAAGTGAATTGAAGAGGTGTTGCAATTTTTAGCACTTTATCGGCAATTCTTGAAAGAGAAATGGCTGTTGTTGCTGATATATATCAACTGGCTCGCTTTCTGAGGCGCTTTCGCCGCAGAACTTCTCGCCTTCGCCTTCCGAAACTCTTAGCCTTTCCATTTGTTGGTAAAACGCACAGAGGGTCAAACATGCAAGCATTTGTCTTCGTGACATTAAATTTTTGGCTAGGTGGCTAGTTTAGAGTAATTTCCTTCTTGCAGACACGCAGGTCTTCTGGAAAAGAAGATGACCTGGATGAGCCTGAGGGAATAGTGCAATAGTGCAAGTCCCAGCCCATCATTTGCAAAGAAATTGACCACTTAAGGAGTGACAACGGCAGTTTCTTCTAGTCGCAAGTGTTTTGCAGCAGCAATGCAGGCCACCAAAGGAAGACTTGCACTTGCCACCATTCTATTGCGCTGAGCGAAAGTTGCTAGAGGAATTAGTAGTTTGAACTCAATAAACTACTTAGAGGCCATCAAAACTAAAAGGAGGTTCGGCATTCTTAGTTGAAATAAAAGTCAGCTGCTGCTGTTTCAGATCTTCTCAGGACAAACAAGAACAAGTTGTGCTGCCAGCGCACCAGGCCGTGAGCTGGTTGGGTAAACTCTTCGTCTCTGCGCGAAAAAGGCGACTTTCTGTTCAGAAAAGCAGTAGACGCTATCTGTGTAGATGTTAAGAGGCTGCAGATGGCCAAATTATTGGAGCATTTCAGCAATTTGTTTGAGGAGCTGCTTGATTTGCTGATCCAACATTTGGTACTAATACCACAAATATCATAAAAGCTGGATTCAGGCGGTACAGGAACATTTTATTCAAGCACTAATTGAATAATTTCGAAAAAGCTAACATTTCAATGTTGCATATACAGGTTATATTTAGTGAGAACGAACTGCTCATGCACCCCTGTGAATGCTACGGCGACTCTCCGCAGCTCGGCTGTAGTAGTGGTACTTGAGTCTACGCCGTCCGTAGCAGCAGCAACAGTAGCAGCAACAGCAGCAGCAAGAGCAGCAGCAGCAACAATGACGCCATAGTGTCAACGTCTAACCATACTCCTAACGCGGGACCAGGTGGAGGCGAAGGCTGCGGCTCATTATCCACAGCTCTGGCAACTGCTTCCTAAACAATATTTATCAAATCCCTGCTGCGTCCATACACCAGACTGCTTAATGTGTTGCAACCAGTGCAGAATGCTGCTGCGTCAGATGTGCCTCGAAATCACCTGTGCAAGACAGGTTGACTGACAAGGACAAATGGATTCCCCGTCGCCCAAGCCCAGCCAAAAGGCAACAAAAAGAGCGAAAAAAGTATTATTGTTGCATTACACATCAAAAATCTTCGTTTTGCCAGTCTGTACGAAGGCTTCAGTACTGCTAGACGCAGGAAGCAGCGCGCGGCTCAAATGGTCAGCCGCTAACACCAAAGCACCAGGGCTCTCAGCCTGGCCGCCAAGAACACTTAACTGCCTCATAACATGAGGATCTTTTCTTTTTTGGAGTCCCCAGGAGTTGGGGGCCAATTGTAGCACAGAAAGCGCTGTGGAAATCGGGATCGCGCGTACAGAGGTGTACGGGCGAGTCGGTGGCTCTAAAGGCTCCCCTGCACTTTGCCTGACCAGTCTTTGACTCTAGGGAGCAAAATGCAAAAGCCAAAAGACTTAAGACATTGCTTTCCACGCCTTCTCGTTCTCCTCCACTGCTGGAACTCCATAGGGATAGCCAACCATCCAGTTGGCGCACACATACATGCGCGCAGGATCTTCGGGGCTCATGGCGGCATTCTGCGCAGTTATCAGATGCAGAAAGTGCAGAAAGCGAAAATTTTAAGAAAAAAGCAGAGAAAAAACACCGTTCAGAGACTGGAAAGCGACAGAAATTGAAAAGTCTAGACGAAAGGGGCGCGATGAATGCTCTTTTTCGTGTAAATAGCACTTCATTAGGTGAAAATTAGAAAAAGAGAGAGCAAGAACTTACCACATATGGGTGGTAGTCCATTCGGTAGCCAAGAAGGTCGCGGTAGTCGTAAGAAGGAGTGCCGAGTCTGTCGGGGGGAAGGCTGGGGTAGTCGAGTTTGCACATGGGGAATCCGTTGAGTCTGGGCCCCACAAGTTTGTCATCTTGAACTCCGAGAAGATTAAATAGAGTAACAAACTCTGGGGAGCCTTTAGAACGGCCGAAAGCGCTGTCGAAATAGGCGCAAGTGTGCTTCGGATAGCCCGGCAAAGAAGTGCCGTAGTCCGCGGGGGCGTCTGCTGGCCGCGGCTGCACTGAAGGATCTTGCAGATCTTCTTCTCCCCAAGTGCGGATTTCTGGCCGGCTTTGGAAAAAGCCGAAGGGAAAGCCGAAGGCCGAACTCACCTTGCTGAAGAAGTTGTACAGCACGCTGCCTTCTCCTGCACAGGCCACCACCGCACTACGCAAGACTGGGGTCAGATTTGAGCCTTGCCGCGGCAAATTTTCGCTAAAATGGAAATAAAACCCCCCAAAGTCTTGCTGAGGCGAAGCTTTCGGGCCTCAGGCGCAGCAGCAGGCGAAACAAGATCTGAATTGCACACAACATGCATTTTCTTACTTCCGACTTGGCTGTCTGACGGGCCCCCAGCTACGGGGGAACTTGAGACGCTCTCAGGCCTTTGGAAAACTTGGCCGGGGGGAGGGCTCTGACTGGGGCGCTCCATTGCTGCTGAGTTCGGTGTGCGCGGCCGCGGGCTCAGGGCTGCTTCCGGGTTTCTTAGAATAATTCGCTGGGACCTGGCTTGACTGAAGAAACAACCTGCTGAATTAAGTACTTCTTTTACCGTTTTAACCTGGGATTCTGCGGAACTGCTTCCGCAACCTGCCACGGAACCAATGGAGAATCGATCCGAAAATCGAGGGAAACTGCGAGATTAACCTGCGTTCTAGAGATGACCTAGAGCGGCGAACCTGATACCTGTGATATTTTAAAGGAAATTACAATTTTTTTGACATCTTCAACTGTGCACAGACTGCAGGCTGAGGCGGCTAGCTCCCGCGGCGGCTTCCGGCGCTGCCCGTAAACGCCGCGGCAGACGAACTGGTGCACTATTGCGGAGAAATCTCATTGTTGCTGTTATTTTCCAAAGGTTTCATTCGTTATTAGTCAAAATAACTCTAAATATTCTTTTTGAAACCTCGTAGATATTCTGGAGGTCCTCTAAATGATCTAGTCTCTTCATCACAGCAGCTGCCGATTAACAGGCAGGAAGCTGCCAATGCGGATCCTTGCCACTGCAACAAGTTGCACATTTCTCGTTGCTTCCTTTGATTGAGTTCATGCAATGAATTCATATTACATTTGAGCTTGTTTAGATCTGTTTGCCATTGAAAGCACGTGCAGGATGGCCCCCAGCCAGCGCTGTCCACTGGCGCCACCTGCGTGCGTGTCGATCTCCACTATTTTTGATTGTTCCTTTCTTCAATTCGCCACTAGGGCCTCCGATTCAATGTTTTCGTTATTTCTGGAGTGATTAGTTCCTTTGAAGAAGTGAAAGCCCCCGGCAACTTGAGCTGGCAGCTACTTCCAATGATCAGCTGCCGCCTGAGGCGCCGCCTGAGGCGACAACTTTACACACAAGGCATATACATAGGAGCCGCCACAGAGTTTTTTGATGACATGGCTGAAAGAAGAAGCATTTAAGGCTTTTCGAAGACCTAAAAGGCTTCTAAATATCCCTAATTGCTTATCTTTGAATCTGAATTTCATCCAGTCTTAGCCTTATTGCCGCATGCAGTTACCGCGCTTTGAATACCTCATTTTGTGGATTTCAGAGTTCAGCTTTCCACGCTTTTGCACACAGACCGCTGAGCCAACCTAAAATAGACTTGAATGTAATTAATTAATCTCATTTAACAAAGATGATACTCTGGAGTTTAATCAGTTCCCTTCAACACGAAAACTGTAAAGTAGAAATCGGAGTGGGCGGCGCAGCTGCGGAGGCTGGCAGATCTCAGGTAGGAAACAGCATTTGCAGGTGGGGAGTTCTTGGGTAATCTGTGGGCTGCCGCGCCTTAAAAAACTATAAAAACTAAAAAACTAAAAATAAACTAATAGATAAATTCAAGAGAACTACTGCTGAGGCAGCAGCGACCCTGGCCTACTGATATCAGTCAGAATGCAGCAAATGGCAACTCATAGTGCCAGCTTTCCAGCCAGCAGCAGCCACTTTCTGAACCAGCTGCTCCTTTCCTGCTGCTTAGTTGCTGCTGCACTATCAACTGAATTTCGGAGAAGCCCAGTTGTATTGGGAAGGCGAAACAGTGGGGCTGTTGTATCCAACTGATGGACTCAGATGTGGGAGGATCAAACAGCAGCGTCGCTGGGCGCGCCTGGCTGCAAGGAATCTTTGTTCCCGACATCTTTTACTGTTTCTGCATCATTAAATATCTGCATTTCAAAGGTTTATATGAGCCCCTTTGCTCAATAGCTGAAGGCTTGCACTTGCAGACAGCCAGCAGCAGCCACGGCGTGCAAATGCAGCAAAGGGGCCGGCTAGCGGCCGGAAGCCCCGCGAAGAATAATAAAACAGCAGAGACGGACGCAAACAGTAATTGCTGCTGGGCCGTGCAGTATTGAGAAGTCTTTACTTTCCATTCTTGTCGCGTTCCTCTTGGGTCCTAGCTCGGCCTCCGCAGCAGCAGCGCTGCTCTAGGGGCACACCCTGCAGACACGAGTCAATGTGCCTTCCACATCCTTCCCTGCGAAGCGAAATGCGAAGATGCAACAGAATAACAGCCAGGTATCGACGTGCTTTCCCCGCAAAGAAGATACAAACAAGCCACCAGGGCAGAGAGCGAAGTTGCAATTCAAGTGGCGCCGAAGTTCCCGCTGATCTCGCGGAAACAGAGGCGTCCATTGAGCGAAAAAGACAAAGAGAAGAAAGGAAATCAGCGAAATATTCCGCAGCCTTCGTTTCAACAGTCCACACGACTGCGGCTCTCAGGGCTCCACGTGGGACCCAGTAGTGGGAACTTAGATATTCTTAAGAAGTGTGGATTCGTTAAAGCTTAAGGCTTTTATTAAAAACGATTTTGTACGCCGTTCCAGTGTGCACTCACCAGGTGGCCTTTCCGCAGGTTCTGCACGTCACCTGGTAACACATCCTGGCTGGTCTGCAGGACGGAACTTGAAGAGCAAAAGCAACTAATAAACCTTCTCTGCACACGAAAAGCTTTTAAATGTGAAGTTTTACAAAAGGAGTTCTTGCTTTCCTGCCGCCTGTTTGCAACAACTGGAAATCAGATGCGCAGACCCAGCCCCTGCCGCCGCCACACGCAGCCAGTCCACGCGCCCGCCGCTTCTATCTTTCTATTTCCATTTCTTCACAATTATTAAATTTCAAAATTAAAAGAAAAGTCATGTGAGAGGCAGGTCCGGCAATTGGAATTCAAGAACATGCACACACTGTGCGCAGCGAAGCGGCTTCCACATCGCTCTCCAGCAAGGCGGCGACACCGGTTCACGTGGCTGGAATCCACCAACAACTCTGTCGTCCCACTCCAAAAAAGGTATTTATTTTGAATTTTGAATTAATATTTATTCATTAGTTGATTCTTCGAAGGTTTCAAGTGGTGAGGACACCCTGCAACTGTGGACTCGAGTCCAATTCATGAATTTCCACTTTGGCTGCGGCTGCGCGGCTGCGTCCGCTGCAGCGGATCTGCGCCGCTGAGTTCAAGTAGTAATTAGAAGCCACACAGCAGCTTTTGGCAGCCACGCACACCGCCGATCTTCCCTGCTGCAGCACTCCACGAAGTCCCAGAGGCTACAGCTGTCCGTGGCCGCCAATAAGAGCTAAACACTGCACAAAGTGCCCTTAATTGAACTAATTTCCAGTTCATAAACTTAAAATAGAGAGATTTGGCCACTGAAGAGCCTGCAGCCGCCAAGGCGAGCGGCGCTGCAGTTCAACTTGCAAAAAGCTGGTTTGAGCGCAGCAATCTGCACGGCGGAGCGCGTGCATGCGCATGCATGCATGTAATCCCGTTTAAAAGCCCCAAATGCCTTTCAAAAGCCTTTTAAAAGCCTTTTAGTGCCTCCAAAATGCACACTAATGCAACTACTCCTGTAGGGGCCTCAGGTGGCACCCCAGCAGCCCCCGGCCCCCCCACACCCGCGGCAACACCCACAGCAGCACTGCTCGGCCGCCCCGCTGCACCACGAAGGCCATCCGCTGGCCTTCGTGTCTCTGCACTTCACTTGGCAGCAGCTGGAAGAGTTCTGCAGCACTTCGGGGCTTTTCCGCTCCATTTGTTTCCCCAGAAACCTCCCCGGGGGGCCCCCCGGGGGCCCCGCCGCGAAGGATGCAACCGCAGAAAACCCCAAAGCAACAACAAGCCCCAAAAATCAACTCC